AGAAGGAGGATCTGATTTTCCTACAAAAGAACTGCTAGTTCAACGGGTGTGTGCAATTTAAGTTTTGACAAATACTGCGAAAATGACTCCAAAAGTTTCACCTACTTTTATTCCTATCAAAAACATACGTAGGGTGCCTGTTTCTCCAAACCTTATCAACACTGGATGCTGCTTTAAAATCTTCGCCAATAAGTAAAAAGTGGTATTAACTCATAAATCTTTGCCAATAGTGAAATGATGCAAATTTGGGTCTAACTTTATTTTACTCAGGTGTATATCACAGTGATTGGGTGTTTATACATTAAAGAATAACCCCCACAATAACTCTAGTTACTACCTGCCACTATACAAAGTTGTTACAACTTTGTTATTATTGACTATATTCCCTATGCTGAACCTTATATCCTTATGACTTATTTATATAACTGTTAAGTTTGTACCTCTTTATCCCCTTTACCTATTTTGCCTGTCCCCTAAATCCTCCCTACTCTGGGAACTAACATTTTGTTTTCTGACCCTATGAATCTGTTTCTGTACTGTTAATTCATTTGTTTTGTTTTTTATATTCCACATATAAATGAAGTCATACAGTATTCATCTTTCATTTATTTCACTTAGCATAATAGCCTCTAGGTCCACCCATGTTGTTGCAAATGGCAAGATTCCATTCTTTTTTATAGATGAGTAATATGGCTGTGTGTGCGTATACACATCATATATACACATACCACATCTCACCATATATGTATGCGTGTGTGTGTGTGTGTGTGTGTGTGTGCGTGTGTGTGTGCACCACATCTTTGTCCATTTATCTATCAATAGAGAGTTGTTTCCATATCTTGGCTATTGCAAATAATGCTGCAGTGAACACAGAGGTACATGTATCTGTAGACAAATAGCCCAGAAGCAGGATTGCTAGATCGCATGGTATTTCTATTTTTAATTTTTTGAGAAATCTCCATACTGTTTTCCATAGTGGTTGCACCAATTTACATTCCCACCAACAGTGTCTGAGGGTTCCCATGTCTCTACTTTATCAACAATACTTGTTACTTTTTGTCTTTTTGATAATAGCTAATCTGAAAAGTATGAAGTAATATCTTATTGTGGGTTTTTTGTTACTGTTGTTCATTTGCTTGTTTTCCTTGAAGCCAATGACTTTATTCTTTTTTTTTTTAAGTTTTAATTTTAATCATCTGGTACTCATCACAAAGGCACTCCTTAATCCCCATCAACTATTTCACACATCCCCCCACTCACCTCCCCTGTGGAACAACCTGTTTGTTCTCTATAGTTAAGAGTCTGTTTCTTCATTTGTCTCTCTTTCTTTTCTTTTCTTCTTTTCTTTCTTTTTTCTTTTTTGGCCTTTGCTAGCTTGTTTTGTTATTTATTTATATGTTTGTTTGTTTTTAAATGTTTATCTGTTTCCTTTTGAGAGAGATAGCACAAGCCGGGTAAGGGCAGAGAGAGAAAGGGAAAGAGAGAATCCCAAGCAGGGTCTGCACCGTCAGCGTAGAGCCTGACATGCGGCTCAAACTCACAGACTGTGAGATTATGACCTGACCGAAATCAAGAGTTGGCCACTTAACGAACTATAAGCCACCCAGGCACTCCTGTTTTGTTTTTCAAATTCTACATTATGACTGAAAACACATGGTATTTGTCTTTCTCTGACTGACTTATTTCACTTAGCATTATTCTCTCTAGCTCCATCCATGTCAATGCAAATGGCTAAATTCCATTCTTTTTTATGTCTGAATAATATTCCATTCACATCTTTATCCACTCATCAGTCAATGGACATGAGCTGCTTCTATATCTTGACTATTATAAATAATGCTGCTATAAGCACTGGGGTGCATGTATCCCTTTGAACTACTGTTTTTGTATTCTTTGGCTAAAATAATCAGCAGTGTGACTGCTGGATCGTAGGGTAGTTCTGTTTTTAACTTTTGGAGGAACCTCCACACTGTTTTCCACAGTGTTTGCACCAGCTTGCATTCTCACCAACAGTGCACATAGGTTCTTTTTTCCCCACATACTCACCAACGCTTGTTTCTTGTGTTTTTTATTTTAGCCATTCTGACAGGTGTCAGGTGGTATCTCGTTGTAGTTTTGATTTGCATTTCCCTAATAAGTGATGGTGAACATCTTTTCATATGTCTGTTGGCCAACTGTATGCCTTCTTTGGAAAAATGTCCATTCAAACCCTCTGCCCATTTTTTAATAAGGTTGTTTCTTTAACACTAAGTTGGGTGCCTTCTTGATATATTTTAGGTATTAACCTCTCATTGGATGCATGATTTGCAAATATCTTCTCCCATTCAATAGGATGTCTTTTAGTTTTGTTGATGGTTTCTTTCACTATGCAAAAGCTTCTTTGTTTGATGTAATCCCACTTATTTATTTTAGCTCTTGTTGCCCTTGTCTGAGGAGACTGGTTCAAAAAACATACCAAGACTATTGTCAAAGAGCTTACTGCCTATGTTTTCTTTTAGGAATTTTATGGTTTCAGGTCTTACATTCAAGTCTTAAATCCACTGTGAATTTACTTTGTATATGGTATAAGACAATGGTCCAGTTTCATTCTTTAGCACGTAGCTGTCCAGTTTTCCCAACAACATTTATTAAAGAGACTGTCTTACCCCATTGTATACTCATGCCTCCTTTGTCCCAGATTAACTGGCCATATATGTGAGGGTTTATTTCTGGGCTCTATATTTTATTTTATTGGCCTACGTATCTGTTTTCATACCAGCATCGCACTATTTTGATTACTATAGTTCTATAGTATAGTTTGAAATCAGGGAGTGTGGTACCTCCAAGCTTTGTTCTTTTTCAAGATTGCTTTGGCAATTTGGGGCCCTTTGTGGTTCCATAAAAATTTTAGGATTCTTTGTTCTAGTTCTGTGAAAAATGTCATTGGTATTTTGATGGGGAGTTTACTTAATCGGCAGATTACTTTTGGTAGTATGGACATTTTAACACTATAAATTCTTCCAACCCATGAGCATGGTGTATCTTTTTCTTTATTTGGGTCATCTTCAATTGCTTTTACCAGTGTCTTATAGTTTTCAGAATACAGGTCTTTCAATTCCTAGGATAAATTCATTCCTAGGTATTTTATTCTTTTTGATGCAATCATAAATGGGATTGCTTTCTTAATTTCTTTTTCTGACAGTCTGCTATTAGTGTATAGAAATGCAATGAATTTCTATATCCTAATTTCATATCCACTGATTTTACTCAATTCATTTATTAGGTCTAATAGTTTTTTGGTGAAGTCTTTAGGGTTTTCTATACATAATATCCTGTCATCTGCAAATAGTTTTACTTATTCCTTTCAAATTTGGATGACTTCTTGTTTCCCGACTGCTGTGGCTAGGGCTTCCAGTACTATGATGAATAAAAGTGGGAAGAATGGGCATTCTTGTCTTGATCCCATCTTAGAAGAAAAGCTTTAAGCTTTTCAAAGTTGAATATGTTGTTAGCGGTGGGTTTGTTACATATAGCCTTTTTTATGTTGGGGTACATTCCTTCTATACTCACTTTATTGAGAATTTTTAATCATAAATGGATGCTGAATTTTGCCAAATGCTTTTTCAGCATCTATTGAGATGATCATATGATTTTTTCCTTTTTGTTAATGTGGTGTATCATGTGTACTGATTTGCAGATATAAAACCATCCTTGTATCCAATTTGATCATGGTGCACGATCCTTTTAATGTATTGTTGAATTCAGCTTGCTAATATTTTGTTAAGGATTTTTGCCTTTATGTTCATTATGGATATTGGCCTGTAATTTTATATTTAGGGTGTCTCTGGTTTTGGTATAAGGGTTATCCTGGCCTCGTAAAGTATGTTTGGTAGCATTCATTCCTCTTCAATTTTTTCGAATAATTTGAGTACAGATACTAACTCTTGTTTAAATGTTTGGCAGAATTTATTTGTGAAGCCGTCTGGTCCTGGACTTTCATTTTGTGGAGTTTTAAAATTACTGATTCAATTTCATCACTTGTAATCAGTCCACTAAGATTTTCAATTTCTTCATGATTCTGTCTTAGAAGGTTGTATTTCTTGGAATCCACTTCTTTTAGTTTTCCAAGCTTTTTGGAGTATAATTTTTCATAGGCTCCAACTTTATTTTTACTTTCTTTATGCTAAGTATTTCTCTATAATTTCTCTATATTAAGAATTTGCCATGACTACTGAAGATAGGCCAGGTAAACAATATAAATAGAACAGTCCTATTTATGACAAAATGAGACAATCTAAACACATAACTTCCCTTTAGCATGAAAAAACTATAATGCAAAATGACAGTAATTTAATATTTATAGTATTTTACTTGCTGTTTCTCTTTTTTCTGTATAAAATCTACATACCAATAAAGTTAGTTAGTTCCATTATCTCTTTCTCGCAATGCAAGGATATTTAAAAGATGATGAATATACCTTTGCACACTTGGGTGAGTATATGAGTAAGATTCTCAATTCTTAGAAGTGGATTTGGTAGGACAAAGATATTGTACAGTTATAATATTGATAAATATAGCAACACCAGCCTCCAAAATCTTCATTATCTATTTCTATTCCTACCAAAAGTGCACCAAGTAGAACATCGTGGTGTCTTTTACATTTCCAGTTATTTTCCTCATTCTCTACTTCCTTAAGTGAGATGTTTCAATCTCTATAATTAACAACGTAGAAGTTGTGAGATATGGATAATTATTTACTAAAGCAAGTATAAATTATTAAAGTAAAAGATCTTAAAAAGAATTTGGTGTACTTTTATTTGATCAATTATATTTATTCATTTGATATAAAACTGATAACCTGATTAGATGAAAGACACTAATAGAACTAATTTCTCAAACTTTCTTGGTCTATTCATCTATAAATCTTTCATAATAGAAGTTAACATATTTTGAGACACATAAAAGTATAAAAGTAAATACTACTACTAAACAAAAGAAAAAATTGAAATTTTAATACTTACAATCATCCAGATCTAGAAGTGAAACATCTTTGGTAAGAGGATTTATATTTTGTTTTGTTTTGTTTTCTTTCTCCTATAAAATAAATAATTTAATTACTATATGTTCTTATAAAAAAATCAATGAAGTAGTTCTTAATGTTTCAAAACAAACAATTTTTCTTCTGCTTAGTCTTCCAAGAAAAAAATCAATCAAATTAAGCTTTCTCTATGGTTATATGGACTGTATTTTTTATTTATTTTAATTTTTTTCTTTCAACCTTTTTTTTCTTTTTTTTTCAATATATGAAATTTATTGTCAAATTGGTTTCCATACAACACCCAGTGCTCATCCCAAAAGGTGCCCTCCTCAATACCCATCACCCACCCTCCCCTCCCTCCCACCCTCCATCAACCCTCAGTTTGTTCTCAGTTTTTAACATGGACTGTATTTTTTAATCAAAATTTTTATTTCAGTTAGCATACAGTATTTCTTCTCCACCATGCAAACTATCACCTTAGAATAGTCTGTTTAAAGATTATAAAGGTCCAATAAATAAATAAATAAATAAATAAATAAACAAACAAACAAACAAATAAATATAGATTATAAAGGTAAGAAGAAAGAAGAAAATTTGAAGGTAAATTTGTGACCCAACAACCTTGGCTAATATAAAAATATAAAGTGGCTCTTTGGTAAAAAGTCTACAAACATGTTGGAAATAATTTTTAAACAAGTTAATTTAAGAAAAAGAATTTCTCAAACAATATAAGCTTAGGTCTGAAATTGTCAAGAGGCTTGTGATAGATTAGCTTTTCTAAGATGTAGTCTGTGACAGACATTGTACTAGGTACTTTGTATTTGAACAGTGAGTTGCATCAGACTTCTTCAGCCAAAGGTATTCAGTAAAATCTACAAATGACATTTTCAGGCACTTGCTCTTTAGGGAAGAAAAGTATTCATTTACTTTCTTTACTGTTTTCCTTTGGGGAAAATAAGTATTTCAAAACATATCTGCACATATGTAGGGTTTCCTCCACCTCAGATCTGCTTATTTAATCTATCTATATTTTTGAAATATGAACAACCGTGCATTAGTAAACAGTATCTCTAAGCCTGCGTATTCACAGTTTGGTCAAAGATTCAGAAAAGATGTGTTACACACACACACACACACACACACACACACACGTGTGTGTGT